AGTGTAAGATATTCCTTGCCACCCTGACTCTTTCTCCCCCTGGAAGAAAAATCAGTGAGAAGCTGGTCTCTGGCCAAATTCCTGGAGCCCTCTTCCCTCTCCAGTGGGAAAAAGAAAATCTACCAGAAAGTCACCACCCAGATAAGCGGTTGGGAGAATTTGATAAGTTAAGCAAGGCTGCCCTCTCATGGTTAAATAAAAAATCACCTGTATAAAATAAAATGCTTTCTCTTCTCTTTGTAAGAGCCCAGAGCATCTTACTAAAACTTGAGTAATGCTAATCTTTTTGGAAGACGTACACGGCACTCAGCCTCTAACACACAATGAATAAATAAAATTGCCAGTGAAAAAGTACATCCATCATTTAAGAACTTGCTCTACACTTACAGTCATCATCGACAATTCATTACATTCCAGAATCTAAAGTACCATACAGGATTTCTTTCACAGGAGATTTACTTGAGACGTTAGCTGGTTTACACGGCGGCAACACTGATTGATGTATCAGTCTTTGTGGTGGGTATCTACAGGGTAGTTACTGGAGAGCTTCAAAAGTTCTGATGTACACTACCCCATATCTTTATACTCCAAAGTATCTTACAGCGCTGGGTATGCAACCAGCCCTATCATGCAGTGAGCGACAGAGACATACACAGAGTCACACAGGCAACCTGCTTATCGTTTCTGGTGGCTCACAGGACAACCATAACCATCCCTTGATGTCTCAGCCAGAAACCCACGTAAGGGCCATTTGAGGAAGAAAAACGAGTTCTTCTGTGGTCTGAAAAACTTTTCCTGACACTTTCTGGTAAGACCAATAAATGCCACCATTAGAACTTGCACTGGTGTCAAAAGCTCTGAGTAGAGCGTAACGTCCCGGGACAGTAGCGGAGTGTCCCACAGACAGGCCGCGCTGGTGACGGCTCGTGATGGCTCAGAAGAAGACTGGGGTCAAGACACTAACGCCTTGTTGAGTCAAGGAGTCAGGAGAGTTGGATTCTAGGGCAAGAAGAAACCTCTTGATTAGTTTACTTTCCTTCTCACACATATATAGGAGTTAACCATGCCAAAAAAAAAAGTCTAATAACTCTCCAAGTGTTACTTAAATAAATATAACTTTAAACCCTATGCCTTAAGAAAGCAGGATCTCACAGTTTTACTGAAAGATTTTGTTTTCTTTCTCTTAGTTCCATAGTCCTTAAAATAACAGTGTAACTTACTACCAGAGTTTTAGACCCTAGGAACTACAGAACGTACTAAACAGAGTTGCGGTCCTAGAATGTCGCAGTGGTGAACAAACCAGATTCTTCTCTGCCTGCACAAAGCCAGATGAGAGGGAGATAACTACAAACACCGCAACGAAATGAGATCGGTTCTAACGCGAGTAAATGGTACAAAAGTAAATAAAAAAGAGTTAAGAGGAGAAAGAGAGGGGAGGAGGTTGGCGGGGGTGGGGGGAGACTTAACTCAGCACTGAAGGGGAGAATCAGCAGGGACAGGAGAGTGAATATCACATCACAAGAGGGAAGAGAAGAAACGCGTTCAAGGAGAGGGCAGAGGACAACAATGAGAAAGGGTAACAGGGAAGGCAGGAAGGTGAGGCCGGAGGACAAGATGATGCCTTTTTAAAAGGATGCTATGTTCCAGCTACACTAAAGTGGTCTCATAGGATGAATGGGGTGTGGGTGTAGGGGAGCAGTGTGCACTCTTGGGTAGGCCTCCTTGCAGGTGCTGAGAGAAGCCGGCAGGCAGCTGCACTCATAGGCCAGGTATGCGTCGCCGTGCAGGGGGGCAAACGGGCAGTTAGCAAATGAATACTTGTAGAAAGCCATTTCAGGTTATAACCCATGTTATAAAGGATGCTGCCAAGACGATGAGATGGAAAGGAGGGAAGAGTGTCCTATTTTAGGCTTTGGGCTTTAATAGTTGTGGAGCACCAGTTATATGCAAGGCATTTATGAAAAATATTCAAATGGCCAGGTGTGGCGGTGCATGCCTGAAAATTCTAGCTACTTTGGGCGGCTGAGGCAGGAAGACCTCAAGTGCAAAGCCAGCCTGGGAAAAAACTAACAAGACCCTGTCTCAGAATAAAAGCGTAAAGAACTAGGAATGTCGCTCGTAGAACACCCCTGGGTTTGATCCTCAGCACTGAAAAAAATAAACCATATATTATCTCATTTAATCTTGAGACTCACATTTTAATATATATAGTTATTGGTATAGGTTTGCTGTGCATAATAATTACAATGATGTTGGGGAGTTGGTACACAGACATATCATATTTTAATTATTTACACTTTCCCCGTCCCAAACTTTCCCCTCCTCCAGCCCAATGGCCTTCCCATCTCCACCTCTGGTTTTCTTCTTTAAATTATTTATGCTTTGGGTTTCTTCTATAAGAGAAACCATGAGCTATTTAACCTTCTGTGTCTGGTTTATTTTGGAACCCACCTTTTAAAGATGGGTGGAACGTGCTCCATTGCTGTAAAGAACTGATGTGCCAAAAGAATGGCACGCCTATCAAAAGATCAGATGGTCAATGTCAGAGCTGGAATCTGAGCCCAGTTCTGGCCTCTAAATTGCACATCTGTTTCCCTTGTTGTCCAACTGTCTTTCAAGACTGCCCTGCAGAATAAACCTGCAAAGCCAGCATCCTACTGGACCTGCTCTAACCCTCTCCTAACCCCATTCCCTCAAGACATTTCTTAAGCAAATTAAGCACCATATCACACATTATTCGTAACATGCTAACACAAAGTATAACTCTGGTAGCTGCCGGTTGGACCTTCTTTCCCCAGCAGGTAACACCTGTACCTTTAAATACACAGTGGCTTTTAGGGAGACATTAATCATAGACTATGTATCAATAGTGGCAACTTCAGGCCACTTAGGAGACTGGAAAGAGAAAACGATGGTGATAACTAGTTAATATTTACTGTACTTTATTATATGCCCGGAACCCTTTAGAGTGCTACATATAATCTCATACTTTTTCAGAAGAAGGTAACACATTACTTTTTTATCTGAGAGTTGCAACTTGAACCCAGTTAATTTGACTTGCAAACTGGAGACAGAATTCCAAAAGAACACGCACAAAATAAATGACAAACTTTAAATGAGTTAAGTGTGAATAGATAATATTGTAAAACCCATAGAGGGCTACTTGGCTTGGGCTATGAAAATATTGATTCCTTTCCCTGATTTTCTAGATAAGACATCGGTTTTAAAGCTTCACAGGAATCCACGGAGACGACACATTTACCCAAAAGGTGCCTTAGTCCCTGCTCTCAGTGAAGTTTCTTAATCACAGGGACAATGAGGGAAGCCAAGGAATTCTTTTCATGGTTTAGACGGGTTTAATGGTTGGGAGCGGATTAAAGGTTTAAAATCAGCCAACAAAGCTCTACTTGCAGAGCCTCCCAAGGAACGCTGGGCTCAGCACTTCAGACCATCCCCACGATCACTGACAAAGTCCTTGCTCTAGAAAAATAACCCAAAAAGCTTGGGAATGGGGAAAATTCAAATTCACTTCCCCATTCTCAGGGACAATAAAATGAGAATAATGATTCTTCATAAGATGATCCTATGTTTTCTTGGCTATAGCAAAGTGCTCTGAGCAGCATTTGAAAGAGGAAATCAACAAATGTTGGCTCTTTGCATCCTTCCCTCGCCTTGTCCTCTCTCTCCTGGGACTCTGTTCAGCCCCAACCCCATATAAATGGGATAAAACAATCCTAGAGGTACAGGTGTGGAAGGGGCCTCTACTGAGGCTGATAGAAGGATTTCTTAAGAATTGAAAAGAAGGAAAAGGCTGTTCCTTGGGCTTCATTTCCATAACCACAAGTTGCAAAGATTAAGTACATTTAAAAATGACTAGAAATAAAATCAATACATTTCTATGTATATATGTTTTTCAAAAGTAAGGGGCTAGATTTATCGTGCCAAAGAGAGTTGATTTTAGTATAAATGATATTCTGTAGATTCATGAGGATTTGCTTATGTTCAGGAAAACCCAAACTTCCATCCAATTTCATCCTTAAACAGTGTTAAGATGTAGGACATTTAAGAAAGCTGGGCTGAACAGTGTCCACAGAGGGGGAGAAAACAAACAGGGAGAAGAAAGAGGTAGAGCAGAACACTGAGACATCCAGAGTTGATGGAAAGAAAAGCTGAAGATAACTTCAGTTTTCCTACTTGAGAAATTACGACACCCTTAGCTCAAATGAGCTCAATCTCCATCCCTTGGCACATCCCAGACTAGTTAAATCAGAATTTCAAGGAGGGCCCCAGGCATCATGACTCTTTACAACCAGCCAGGTAATTTCAATGAACTAATGTTGAGAATATTGGTACAGTTAAAACAAGGAAGCCTGGAAGGACACAGCACGGAGGCAGGGAATGAGTGTGATTCTAGTTATATTGAGTTCAAGCTTCCAACAAGGCAACAGGAGGGAAGGAAGCACTAACTCCTGGGAAGGACTGAGCAGCTCAAGATTTTGGAGAGTCAGTCATGCATCAACAAACACCCCTTCGGGGATGTTACGGACCAGGACCTACAATCCAACAAACAAGGTCCTAGTCCCTTGAGGGACTCGTATTTAGGAGGCAGGGTACAGATTTCTGAACAAATAGCACAAAGTTGTTGGGAGGAAAGAAGGGTTTGATTCCCTTAGGAGTGGCCAGAAGGCTTCATGAAGAAGGGACAGAAGTGGTTGAAGGAAAGGGAGAAAACAGGAAAGGAGGCTATGGAAATGTATGGACACTTACTTAGATTTAGCAAAGCGCAGAAGAAAATGCAACTAAATAAATAAAAATCACTGGGAAGCAGCAGAAGAAAAGGAAAGTAGGACAGAGAGGTGTCCTGAAGGCAAGGAGGGGCAATAGAGAGAACAGACAAGTCAAAGAAGGAAAGGCTGGCTTGCAGATTTAATGACCACAGAGCTACAGAAATTACTGTCTGCCTTGAGATGGCTAGGGATGGCCTTTGGCCAGTAACCTACCTTCTCGAGCAATCACTTTTCACCTACAAAATAATGAGAATAGAGACTGTGTGATTTCCAAGGCCATGTCGAGCTCCGACAATCTACATATTTCGGTGGTTAAAAATCAAAGTAGACTATAAAAGGAGACACCCAGGATTCAAATTCTATCAGCTTTATCTTTCTGGATCTCATATTATGGATTTATAAAAATGAAATGAATGCTCCCTACCTCCTAAGATTGCAAAGACTAAATTAAGATACAGTTCCAGGCCCTGAGCACATTTTAAATCAGTGTTATTTTGTTTGTTTCTACCTAGCATCACGACTTACAAATCAATACTTAGTAAGTGTTCTTAGAATAGAAATGGTAAGCTTTCGCTCCTGATATACATCTTACCTTTGTTCTTGTCAAAGAGTCTGCTCGTTCACTGAATTTATCTTGGCCCTGCGTTCTGCTTTTCTGCTCTGGGACCATACTAATATTGACTGGGTTGATTCTCATCCCTGGGGAGGAGAGGGATCATGGAGAAAGTGGCAGGGTACAGAAGAGTTGGCTGTGGCCTCAAGACGCTGGAGGGCACAAGGAGAGATGAAAGTGATATGGAGCTAACTGAGCTGGGTTCATGTTCTTCCTAAATCAAAGAATGAATTCCAAGGAATGACGGAGGTTAAGAGCAGGAAAAATTGAACGGGGGCGGGGGAGGAAGGAGGGATCCTGAGAGACAGGAGGGGACCTTGAAGTGGGTTGCCACTGAGACCACTTCTCTAAGAATATTTTATAGAACAAAATATTGAGGTGGGTACAACATCAGTCAAACTACAATCAACCAATAAGACTACAAGTATAGCCGCTCAAGTACTATTGATCCGCCAGTAGGGAAGCAGGTCATGCAGCGAGGGTACACAGAAAGAACCAAGTTGTTTTGAGAAAGGGATGGATGCGACATCCCGGTCACTCACCTGGGTGACTGGTATTCATCTGGACTTTACTGGATCAGGTGATATGAATTACAGTACAATTTCAGTTTAACACTTATCCCCTGGGGAGGCACGCAGGCCTGGTCATTCCATCCTCATCCAAGGCCTGGCCTCAGAGAGACGCTTCCTCTAGCTACAGTTCTGTGTGTTCTCACCCTCTGCACCGACTCCCTCGAGGGCCCTGTCTAGCTGCTTCGGATATTTCTACCTAACTTAGCTGTTGCTAATAAAAAGCCTCTGCCCAACACATAGGTGAGACAGGACACAGGTAACACTCACCAACTTGGTTCTGTCCCCAGCAGCCATCTGTCCGGATACGTTCCCCGCTGCTGTTTATCCCTTTCTGGGGGTCTCACTCCTGCCACGTAAGCAATAAGGAATAAGGAAATCAGCAAAGGAAAGCAACAACAACAACAAAATCCTTTCCATTTCTCATTCCCCGACAGAAGGGGCCAAGCTAAAACGGACTTCCTCTTTAAGGTCGCTCAATTGCAGGTTGCAGGGAAGGCGAAATGTAGAGGGTATGACATGAAATACAGATTAGGCTGATGTCACAAAAGAGGTTTTCGGTAGTGTCAGCAGAGGCTGTAGTGATGGCTAAGGAAGTTGACAAAGGGCACTGTGTGAAAATCAGCTGCTTGTCCCAGACAAGCAGGTGGGGTATTTTAGTTAAAGGTAGGACAGGATCTCATTATGAGAAAAACCAGGTCTCAGAACAGGGACGCTTCATTCTGGATTTTTGAATCTCAGGTATTGACTCATTTTTGTCAAGAAACGATAAAATCAGAGATCACTGAAAAAAAAAAATTAGCCCCTCCTCACAGCACAAGGCAATAGGTTTTGACCTCTGTATTCCAATAAATAAGAACAAGGACATGAAGTCAGGTCGGGTCCCTTTGCAGGTTTTAGTCATCATTTCCAAGGCCAAAAAACAGACGGTGGAACTAGGCCGTCAGTTTACCCCAGGAAGCCAGATTTACAGGCATGGGGACCCCAGCCTGGGGCTGACATCGCCTGGATCCGCCCCGCTTTCTAGCAGGCTCCCTATGGCAGGAGATTGTAAACAGGACTAATTCGACGTTAAATGAAGGCAAAGGAAAAAGAGATACATTTTGGTTCTACAGATTCTGGGCTGAGAGAAGGGGGTTGGGCTTCTCAAATTCGGATTTACATTTCAAAGCGGCCTTCAGGCCCAGCAAAGCTCCAAGCCAAAGCCCCAGGGAAGCCCCTCTCCCTTTTCTCCACCCGGCTGGAAATCACCGCTCCTAGGAGACCGGGCGAGAAAGCAAGAGCTCCCGGCGGCGCCCCGGGGTCCCTCCAGGAAGTGGGGCGAGACTAAGGGCGCCGGCCCGGGGAGGTGCGGGCCCTGGAAGCCGCCGGGGCTCGCTCCACCTGCGTGCTCCCGGACCTCCGGGCGGGGTGGGGCAAATCTTTGTACTCCTCGGTTTGCTCAGGGTTTGAACAGTTCGTGGGAGCCGGACTCTGCCCTCAGCGGTCTC